ACGCTTCACCAGGGGTGTGATCAAGTTGCAGCGTAAGGACAAGGACGGTGGGATGGGTTAGGGAACTTTCGACCTTTAACGATGTTAAATACTGACTTAAAGATTTTGGCGAAGATCTTAGCCAACCGTTTGCAGCTTGTCCTGTCTCGTCTGATTGGCCCTGAACAGACTTGTGCTGTGAAGGGTAGGACTATTCAGGATAACCTTCATATGGTACGCTTGATCTTAGAACAAGTCGACAGTGAAGCCGCGCCGATCAATTTAGATCAGTCCAAGGCCTTCGATAGGCTTGACCATCGATTTCTGGAGGCTGTCCTTTCGGCGGCCGGTTTCGGAGCCGACTTTCGCTCCTGGATCCGACTTTTGTATGCGACCCCCGGTGCGCTGGTGGAAGTGAATGGGGTAAGATCGAAGCCTTTCGTATTGTCTCGCGCCATTCGTCAAGGTTGTCCGCTCTCGCCTCTGCTTTACGTTCTTGCGTTGGAACCTTTCCTTCGCAAGTTAAAGGCGAATCCGGTCCTACGCGGTATTTCGCTGCCTGGTGCTTCCACCTCGGCCAGGTATTCTGCCTATGCTGACGACGTTTCTGTTCTTGTGTCGAGCAGAGCCGAGATTGACGAAGTCAGCAAGGAGATCAGTGGGTATGAGATGGTGACAGGGGCCAAGATCAACCGCGATAAGTCTGTGGGCTTGCGGTTGGGTGCGTGGAAGGGAGTTTCTCTTCCCGGACCTTTCCTCTGGACGGATGGGCCGATCAAGATACTCGGCGTCTGGTTCGGTCCTGATCTCCAGTTGGAAATGAATTGGTCGGAGGTGAAAGGCCGAGGCCGCGGGTAATCTGTGGTCACGGAGGAGACTTTCCCTGAAGGGAAGGGCGGAAGTATGTGTTTCACACATCTATCCGATCCTCCTGTACCGACTCTCTGTGCTTCTACTCCCGTATGCCCGACTAATGTCATTAGTCAAGGCCTTGTTCTCTTTCTTGTGGAGAGGCAAGGCCCATATGGTATCTCGCGAGATCTGTTGCCTTCATCCTCTGAGGGCGGTCTGGGTATGCCTAGCATTGAGATTCGTCAATATATGCTTCGCATTACCTTTCTAGACCGAATATGTCGCGGTTTGGATGAGGTGGGGCACTTTTTGAAAGAAGATGTCCGAAAACATTTCCCATCCCTGAGAAGTTTGCACTCGTGCGAGGAGGAGGCCGGCCGTACACCTCGTGTCGAGTGCTCCTTCTACTCGCGAATGTCGTCGTGCTTTGAAGCTCCTCTTGCGGACGTCGGATGGCCTCTCCGACGCCCAAGCGTTGTCTCGTAAGGCATTATATCGATTGTTAGTTAGGGGTCCGTTCGAGATGGTCTGATCGACGAGCTCGGTCTTACGAAGCAGGAGGCTCGCTCGATATGGCCTTGGGCGCCTGGGTTGAAATGTCTCAATAATGATGAGGCATCACTCACCTGGCTGATGATTCGTGGGGCCCTCTGGGTCGGCAAAAGACTTTGTTCAGCAGGCTTGGAGAAATATCCAAACTGTCGTCGCTGTACTGGGAAAGTCGAGACCATTGGTCACGCCTTTTTTCAGTGCAAGACGGTAGTGCCGTTGTGCAAGTTTGTTGAAGTCCTCATGGTTCGCATGCTGCAGGGAAAGTTTTTTGTCCTGGAAGCCAGTTCTGTTTGTAGCAATGTGGTGACGCAATTGACGAAGGCTGAACACTATGTGTTCTGTTGCTTACTAGGGGTTATGCGAGTAGTGATTTGGACGACGCGTCAGAAGGAATTCTATGACGGCGAGAAGTTCACCTCTTCCCAACTGATCTTGTACTTTAAGCATCAGCTTAAAGTCAAGATTAGGACGGAAAGGTGGCGGCTCCCATCATCAGAATTTGGCAAAAGGTGGGTGAATCTTGCGCGAATGTGTAGAGTAAAAGGGGCTGACCTAGAGTGGCATTTGGATGTCGGTTAGGTACAGAATTTTGTCCTAACAGGGTTGAATATAGGCAACCCACCTAGATATTAGGCTAGTCTAGGTTTTCGATTTTGAATTTTTAGTTTCTTTTTTTTTCCCGGTTAACTTAGCTAGGGTATGCATGCTCATTGGTCCCTTTTATTTCTGTCCCTATTTTTCTTTTGTTTAATTCCCCATCCCCTCCCTCGTTAGGTGGTTAGTGATGTCAGTTTTCTGGTGGATGCGGGGCGCCTTTCGTTTCGGATGTGTGATTTTTCGTATTTGTTGTTGTGTCTGTATGTGTGTGTGCCTGTGTGAATGCTTGGAGGTATGAATGATTTCCTGATTTTTTTTTTTTCATAGTCCCGCATTGATTTCGTCCGGTTAACTGATGTTTCTGCCACATTTATGGTTTGTGGGGGGTTTTATTACTAACTCAATTTTGTTTAGTTTATTGTAAATATTAAATCATATTGTAAATATTCATTTGGGGATATTTTTAAAATTTGTTATTTTATGGCCCTCCCCCCATGAACATTATCTGTAAATAAGGGGACTAGTTAGGACTTTATAGAGAATTTGAGGTATTATGGTGAACGTAGTAAGAAAGGTAGGAGTGAATGTGTTGTTTTGGTGATTGGAATATTGTTGGAATGTATGGGTCAGTGTCTGCGACTAGCTAAGTTTTAGATTTAAGACAGAAGAAGACCGTCATTCCCCACCCACTTTTTAGGCCTCGTGCCACATTTTTTATTTTAATGCAAATAAATAATAGACAGATAGACAGAGAGGGTAAGACCTCCGAGTCTAGCTGAGTCTTTGACTGTAAGCGACGACTGTCAAACTCTCTGCATTAGCAGAGAGGAACCAGGACGAAGCTTTGCTGAAGGGCAAGGTTTCGTCCGGGGAGGTAGACAGGGCCTGAACCCGTCTAGGCGGGGTCAAAATGGCTATATTTTTGGCCGAGCCTACGGGCTCGGAGATACCCACATTAAACCGGCCTTGTGCCACATTCAATCTTCGTGGGTGGATCGATAAATACTAAGACAGATAGACAGAGAAGTTCTTAGCTGAGCTAGTTATTGACTACTCAGGCGATTTCTGTACCTTTTTACCAACCTATTAAAACCCTTTTTATTGTTACGTGTTATTTGGCGTTTGTCTCTACTAATCCCAAGTCAACATCATAACAGATTATTATCTAAAACCATATTCTTATAACATAAAAATATTTTCTTGTTTTAAATAACCAACAAATGGCTGATAAATCGTAAAAAACGAGTCAACCAACCAACAAACCAAGGAAACAACATTACAACAGCAACCTTCCTCAATTGAAACGCAATCGTTAATTTCAGTTAACGTAACAGTTAATAAATTGATATTTTTTTTATATCTATACCTTATTTTATTTAGATATTTTCTAGTCCTGCATCATATTAATCCCCTCATACAACGAAACTTTCAGATCAGAATTCAATTAATGTCTCAGCCTATATAACATTTGGTACATGTTAGTATACACTATAAATATCGTCAACAATTGAATTCAATCAGAAATATTAATCTCATAGGTGGTACATTATAAAATGAACATTTCAAATCAGATTCCAATTACTTCTGCCATAGATATGGTCGACATTTGTTACCACTCAAGTCTGGAGAACACAGTACTTAACCCACACAATTTAATTCGTTGCTTCAGTGACTTTTTTTTTAAAAATTTATTTCAGCCAATATACTTCTATAAATCTTACAGGATGTGTTGGATGGAAAATCGTTGATCCGAATTCGAATTCCAGTCGGATTCATTATATTCATATTCGTGCAATACCTTTGAGAAATGTTTGAAGCCATACCTAGCTATAGGTCAACTATTAAAACTTGTCTCTGAAAAATATTGTCACTCTTAAAATCTATAAGTGCAATATTCACTCGCAGAAAATATAAAATACGTTTCAGCTTTAACCCTAGAACACTAGCCATGGGTATATAGTACCCAGTGCAAATTTTCCTATTTTTAATTACAATTTTCAGTACCTGATTTTTTTACCTAAATAATATGTTTTTCAGTTCCTATTAATGTTAACTCAAAGTACAAAGTTTGAAGTGCCTGCATGTATAATATTTTAAATAAAGATTTATATTTAATATTTTTTTGATATTTTCAAATTCAGGTATGATATACCCATGGTTAGTAAATGTGTAACTTTAATTGATGGTTAGTGTTCTAGGGTTAAGTAAACCATATGGGTTGATTAGCCATAAAAAATAAATAAAAAAAAACAAATCTAATTCTGGTCAAGAAAAGTTTTTACTAAATCGATTTATGGAATCAAATTTATGCTCCAACCCTGCCACTGCTAATGTAATGTATGATAATATACCCATCCATATGTTAAATAGTAGCATTTATGCCTGGAAAAATCATTGTTATTATCAAAATTTTTTAACGCCCGCATGAAAAAAAACAGTTTTTATAATCAAAATTTTTCGTCTTACAAAACCTAAAAGGCTTGATAAACCATTAAAAATCACTCAATGCATCAATATTATGCTGTCAAAAAAGGCTTTACTAAATCGATTAATGGAATCAAATTTCTGATCTACCACCGCTGCTGCTCCCAATGAAATGAAAATACTTTTATCGTTGATTTTTTTAAAAATAATATTGATTTTGACGTTACTTACTTGGTCACCGATTCAGTCAAAACATGGAAGAGTATTGTTTTACTTCTGTCATGATTAAGAACACTTGTCTTGCTGAAGATTACTAACTTAACGAGTTAAATCCTTACTAAAGGTCAACCAAGTATGGATCTCTGAGTAGAATTATTAAAAGCAAAACATTAATTAATTTAAGCTTTATCTCTTAGGCCCAGTTTAGTAAATACCTGTAACGAGTTCGATTATCATTGGGTTCCATATTATTGCAACTCTCAATATAATATCACGTTGTTCATTTCAAATCTCGTCAACTATTTTAATTCTGAGAATTTGAAACTATTTTGGTTCACTTGAGCCAGCAGAAGAAATTGAAATATTAGATATTTTACCTTGCAGGCTTGCCTAATGTCCTTCATTAAAGGAACCATCATTCGCGGTCCGCGGCTGCAATTCAAACCAACCACAGCAGCGCCCTTCTCCTCCAATTTCCTGCATGTATCGCTAATTGGAATTCCTTCTAGTGTAGTCGATTTGGCAGTTGTGGCAAGTGTCACAACTGCTGGCAAACCTAAAAGTAATATATATATATATATATATATATATATATGTATGTATGTATATATATAAATTTTCGTACACAAGACTCTGAAAACGTAAAGAAAACAACAATAACATTTTAAAAAAATGTTTAGACGAGATACATTCTTTAGTTACACCAGTTCAGAGTTTCCTCGAAGAATTTCCTGCGTAAAGAATTATGTTTTTTTTTTAATTAGGTTGGCATTTATAATCAAAGTTATGGCCAGATTTCTTTGTCTGCATTAAGAACAAGTTTAATGGTTTGTCCCAACATAGCTCTCTCTTATGTTCATAGATGCCGGCTTTTATATTCCAAGATGTTTCGCCAGCGTAACTTTTCTTATATTGCAGTCTATTTATCTCCTACATTCCAGCGTCTGATATCTAAAAGCTTTTTCAATTCACTTCTCTTCTTCATCTCTTCGCTCCCGAATATACCTAACACCTATTTTCAAGTTCTATCTTCGCAAGAATCAGATTAGACTAAAAACTGATGCCATATTTATTACCCAGTTCTTGCGGGAGGGAGAACTATTTCCCAAGATACAACCTCACAAACGAAATGTCAGTATTCCCTCACTACTCAGTAGCAATTTCTATGGCAAAAGTTCAGACTAGATTCATTAGTTCCACTAGTCCAGACCTTATGAGTTAGGTTGCTGATTGGTTGCTTTTGGTTAGTTCACCTTCTACAAGACCCGTAGGCCACTCGAGGTAGAAGATTACGTTAGGAGGTCATTTGTGTGTATAGGAGTGAAAGACAACGGTTAAAACAAGCTCCCAACAGGCCAAGATTGCAGTTGTCGGGAAACTTCCCGACGAGAGTCGGTTCCACAGGGCAGTGGATCGCGGGATGAAGTTGCCCGAGTGAAACCCATCTCTCCCATCGATGGAACAGAGAGGGAATGTGGTTGTTTGCTACAATGCAAACAGCGTGTGTTCTTGCCGTGAATATTTGACTCGGAGCGACCAGGGAATGCAGTCCGTCCGAATACCCTCCGTTTAATGGCACATCAACATCTCTATGGGTTATTTAATTTCAGTGTAAAGTTATGTTTTTATTAGATATATATGTAGTGGATCATAGAATGTATATTTTACTATGAAAAGTATTTTTATATTATTTTAGTGTTGCATTGATTGTCATTATACTATAAAAATGGATTGTTGGTCATTTTATTATAAAAATGTACTGAGAATTTTTGTTTGAGATTCACTACGCTACCTTTCAGTGTTTTAGTGCAGCTGCTGTGACTTCAATAGGAAGTGTACTTTTTACCGGGTGGTATTGCTAGCCTTGCTTCAAACAGGCTTTGAATAAAGAGTTGACCTTCACCAGATTTAAAGCGACAGAACTCAGTCTGTCCATAATTGTAAGGAGAAGTGTGGTCTGTTGCAATTCCCAAGTGTGTTTACGCAAAATGAGTAAAGGTCTTGAATGTAATTTGAAATGAACGCGACACTAAGGTGGACATGATTTACAAGTTTAATTATATATTTGTGCAATATTACAAAAGTATAAAAATGTTATATCACCTTGACCATATTCCTTCACAGCTTCTAATGCCAAAGCGCTTTCCTCGTATGTATTAAACGTTTCCGTGACAATATAATCGGCGCCTTCTTCCCTCGCCCATATTACCTGCTCCTTTATAAAATAAGAAACAATATTATAAAAGGAATTATACCCAGAAATTAATAAAACTTACCTTGTGAGAATGTATCGGCCAGATACAAATGAAATGAAAATTGAAACAACACATTGAAACAAAACATGTACGATGATAACACTGCTAATGCCGTGCTGTGGAGCTGTCAAAAGTCTATAGAAAATGCAAAACTAAAATAATACTGTGTATAGCGTGGTGTATGAGATTTCAAATGAGACCGAGATCGTTTCCGAGATTTTCAATTATTGTTTATTTGAAATATTGGTAATGTTCTTGGTAACGTTTTTTCTTTACAAAAATGTATTGTTGGAAATTTGTTTTTACTATGAAAATGTATTGCTGAAACTTTCACTATAAACAAGTATTTCTATACTTTTTTAGTGTTTGACCCGAGTTTGGGGCTTCACTAATTTTCCATAGCTGGGACGCTGGCCAGTGTGGACCTGGGAACAACAGCAATTACGAGGTATTTCCAAGCTCCTCAAAACTTCCCGGTCAGCGGTTTTGCTTCAGGATGTAGTTTATCGTCATACCCAAGAGGATTCTTTCTAGATAACTGCTCAAAATGACAGCAAATATGACGTCATCATCACCGCGATAATGTTTCCCAGTCAAATATTCTTTCATGTTGGGGAACAGATAATAGTCAAACGAAAAGAATAGGGAGGTGATCAACTAGTTCAAATCCACAGTCACACACATTAGCCATTGAAAGCAAGAACATGTGCTGGAGTATTGTCCTGATGAAATAAGACTTCTTTCGTCAGTTTTCCTGGGCATTTGGTCTTGATTGCATTGTAAGATTGCATTTTCTTGCATTGTAAGATGGTACAGTACTCTTCATTGATGGTGTGGACCTTTTGAAGATAGTCAATAAACACAATGCTTTTACATCCACTAAAACTAAGGCTATCAACTTGGGTCTTCTTCAAGACTCTCACTTCCTCTCTTAAATTCAGCTGCCCACTTTTGCGCTGATGGTAAACCTGGGTCGCCATCACCTAATGTAGGAGACATGTTACCATAAACGTCCTTGGGGCTAAATCCTTTTTCTACAGGTGCTTGAAAACACCGCGATGCCAAATTTTACCCATTTGCATGAGAAGTCGCTGCTAGTTACAGTTGAATTCTTCTTGGAATAGTTAAATGTCATTTTACATGGGAAATTATTAAAGTTAGCTGGAAAGTTATTAATAAGAAGAGTTGAAATTAATGGATGCACGGTTTCACAGCTCTAATGTCACTCCTTCATAGTCAGCCTATACACTTTTCAGCCCCAAATCATAAGATACGTAGATGACAAAGACAGAAAGAAAACTATAGGACCACCTTAGTAAAGGAAAGCCAGAAGATTGGACTAACCATTAATTTTAAGAAGGCTTCTGTCTTTTCTACAAATATCTTCATAGCAATTGATCTGACGAGCTTTTTCCCTGATGCTACAACTACGTGAATTTAAATATGGTACTAGATTGGCATTTAGGTCTCATCATTTTACTGTTGAAGTAGTTAAATGTAACCGTCACTTCTACTCCAACAGTTTACTTTCCCGCACTTCCCGCCTGTGGAACTCCCTTCCGTTGGCTTGCTTTCCTGATAACCACAATCTTTAAAAATTTCAATGCAGCGTCAATCGCCATCTTCTATCTTCGTAAATCCCATTCATCTTTTATCCTTTCCTCAATCCTATCTATACCTAGTCTTTTCTCTCGCTTTCATTCTCTGTAATCTCCTGTGTACTAGTGGCATTCCCACGTTGCTTGGGATGAAATGATTAAAAAAAAAATAGAATGTATAGTTTTCACCAAAAGGGTGAACTACAAATTGGAGATACCAAAATCAAACAAGTACAAAAATTGAAATATGTAGGAAGATTTTTAACAGGGGACGGGAAATTTGTCACCGAAATCAGAAGGAAAAGTGATATAGCAAAAGTTACTTTTCTAAAACTAAAACAAAAAACCCAAAAAACAAAAAATACTAAGCGGAAATTTTCTTGGGAAACGAAGTAAAATTGGTTAATAACAGTGTAATATAAATCGGCTAATATGGCAGTGAATTGTTGATAATTTCCTGACAGACTTGAGGCAACTGAGATTTGGATCTAGATGAGGATGTTTAGAATAACAAGGATGATGCATGTGTGAGTAACGACGAGGCTTTAAGGAATATGGAAACAAAAAAGACATTTATAATTAGAATCCGAAAAAAGACATCTGAAATTTCTGGGACTGAAAATACGGAAAGGAGGCTTGATAAATTTAACACTCACAAATTACATTGAAGACAAGATAGCAGAGAGAAACAATCGAGTAAGCGAGTTAACGAAATTTTGTAAATAGGTTGGTAGAAGAACATGAACGTCTAGGAAAATGGGAAGAGCCATGTTTTCTCCCCTTCAGATTGGACAATAATAATAATAATAATAATAATAATAATAATAATGAGTATTCAAGATAGAATTAGCCAAAGCTAACTTCCAGGAAAGTGACTCGTTGAACCTTCTCGGACTAATGTTCTCAGCTGACATGAAGAGGAAAGACTATATTGTTAGGTCAACTGTTAAGAAATTTGGTTCACTGTGTCGTGCCAGACAATCCTTGTCTCCAGAATCTATCATACATATCTATAGGTCTACCATTCGTCCATGCTTAGAATATTGCTGCCACATATGGTCCAGTGTCCCTGCTATTTATATTCAGCTATTTGATAAAATCCAAAGAAGAATTAGAAATATCATTGACCCTGATCTAGTGGCTCGGCTTCAGTCACTTTTCCACCGCCATAACTTTGCCGATCTGTGTTCTTTTCTATAGATACTTTCATTGTAACTGTTCGGATGAGCTCTTCGCTATGATATCTAGACTTTTTGAATTTCAGCGCAGAAGTAGACTGACATTGGGATCTCATCAATTTACAGTTGATCTGGCTAGATATAACAATAAGTTCTATGATAACAGTTATTTCTCTCGCTTCTAGCTCCATGCTTTCCAGTTAACATTAATCTGCAAAAATTTAAATGCAATATCAATCGCTATCGACTGTATTCCTGATTATTCTTTCATCTTCCCGCTCATTATTAAAGTTTATGTTCCTAATTCTTTCACACTCTGTAACAGCTTGTGTCTTAGTGGCTTTATTGCCTTGCATGAAGTGATACTGATTAAAAAAATCAGGGTGATTTCTTTGATTTTTTAAAAGTAAGTGCATCATATATACGAGAAAGTTTCGTTAAACAAAAACATTGGAAATCATTATGACAGAAAGACGTTCAAAAAGAAGACAAAATTCCAAGTTTTATTCTCTTTAAGCAAATATCTAAGCAAAAAGATTTGATTTGTACTTGAAAAATATCCGAAATAATTCGTTCGGCTACATTGGTGAGTAGGAGTGAAATGTCTCACCTTGAACATGGCCTTCACCTTTTCAATGGCTTCTGCGTTATTTGGTTCAAAAATGGTGGTGTTGCTTAAATCTCCCGCCATTAGTGTTCCAGTAGCATCGGCAACCTTACGTGCTATTCGGAGAGAATTGCGGTTGAGTTTTTCCACTTCGTCTTCGCGTCCAATGATATTCAACTTTTGACGATGTCCGTAATACTTTCATAGAGAAAATAAAAGAAATAAACTTGCGAATGAAATTAAACATATACAACTCATATGGATGTAGTAATATATATATATATATATATATATATATTACTCAGCGAGCGAAATAAATGGTTTAGTTCGACATTCCTGAAGAAGGCCGTAGCGTACAGCGGCCAAAACGTTATGGCAACAAATATAGGGACAATAGTCCGAATAATGTAAATAGTGTACATAATACCCCATCGCAGAAATATAGACAGATACAGAAGAATAGATGACATTATTAAATGAAAATATTTACTAATCGTAAATGAAAAAGCATAGGACAATTCATCAAACGCCGATATTTTTAAAAGCATTTTCACTTTTTTATGTGTATAAACATGGCGATTTTTGTACGTACGGTCGACCATACACAACATTATCAGAAAATAAGGACGATAATTATAATAAATTTATAGTCAACATTTCTAAAATTCAATAAAACATTTGCTAAATTTTTAAGATTAAAATAAAAATGTTAAGATTAAAAATTAAAATTATATAAAAAAAGTTGCTTATGTAATCTTCTTCAATTATGTTTTACAGATAAAGTCTCTGTAAAACAACATTACATCTGTTATCAGGCTGTCAGCACTTTAAAACTGCCACTGACGGGTTAAAAATTGCATTTCTGTGACATTTTAACCCTAAAGTATATAATATTTATTTCAAATCTGATTAATTATAATTTAAATCAGCTAATATTCCTCAAATAAAGTTTCAGAAAAGTATATTTTATTTTTAACAACAAAAATTACATTGTGATAAAAGACGACAAAGAAAAGGCGGTAATCATATATATATATATATATATATATATATATATATATATATATATATATATATAAACTCTAGTATACATAAATTCGTTTTTGAAATCAGTAAAATATTTTGTTTATTAGAAATATTACATTTAACCAACTAGTGTGAAATTAAAGCTAAAATAAAAATTTCAAGAAAATACATAAATTCAATTTAAACTTTAGGTATCGCATTTATGGGGTGGTCCATAATATATATATATATATATATTTAACAATAAAAAATATTAAAAAATTAAAATCTTCAGACATACTTAATATTCTTTCGGTTTTTTATTATTATTTAATTTAGATTCCTCGACTAGTTTCGGTCAAAATGGCCATCATGAGGAGAAGAAATATTCCTGCTTGCTGGTAGCAGTAAACTACAGAAATGAATGTCTTGCTGGAGAAAATGAACTTTTGTCTGTAGTTTTCATTTGTTTTTTATTTTCTAATCTTTTTAACATGAATTTTTTAACATTCCTTGTGTTGGTCAAACAGTCTCTTTTAAGTTGTTATTTGAGATAAGCTGAATTCCCTTGGTCAGTTTGACAGTTTTATTGGTCCTGGAGAGGGTGTGTGTCTCTGTTTAGTGTTTGTGTGTGTGTTATTTGGTTCTTAGGGAGTGAGTGAGTATGATATGCGTAAGCGTGTGTATTGCTGTGGGTGTGTGTTATCATTTGGCTCATTAGGGATTGAGTGAGAATGATGTGTGTAAGTGTGTATATTCGTGTGGGTGTGTGTATATAAGTGTGAGGCCTCAACACCTCCGTAATCATGTCTGTCTTGTGTGGGTGAGAAATGTGTGTAGGTTTTGATTTGTTGAGTTATATATTAGTACTATCTATATTGTTAAATTTATGGTGTAACCCGGCTGGATATTGTGTTTTTAGACGTTGTATCCACTTATTTTTATGAGACTTTCTAATGTTATCTGCTCTGAACTTTTATATATATATATATATATATATATATATATATATATATATATATATATATATATACACAACTATATGATTGGTGTATATGGAATGAATTCCAACAACCAACAAATAATATTCTTAAAAGAGTGCTCAATACAATGTAGAGCAGATATAATTATTTATTTTTATAAAATTTATAACATAAATATGTTATAAAATCACTACAAAAAAAGCCATATTGTTTCAACACCCTCGGTGTCTTATCAAGTGATGATGTTGAAT